ATTTTCTGGAACAACATAGCATTATTCAAGTAAATTTATATTTCCCAACAGAATTCCTAAACTTATGAAGGAACTTAATGGGTGACAAAGGAGGCATTACAAATTGGTTGGGATGGATTAGCCAATAAGTGGTGCTGGTTAACTTGCTTAGAAATTCTCTGGGTAAATAAAAGTCGAGCACTGAGCATTGAGAGAAAAAATCCATTTTAATCTTTGTGTTTTTTGGAAATTAGGACTGCTTTATTGCAAGGAACTGAAATTGATAGTTATAACATTTGCTTCTAGATAGGGAATTAAAGCAGAATAAAATACAGGGCTTGATGGAGGTACCCTACTGTTAATGAGGCTTTAAATCACATAGCAGTCAAGAATAAGAGAAGAAAAAAAACCTAAAAAACACAAGAAAGATAGAGAAAAAACAAAAAATAAATAAATAAAAATAAATCATGCGGCCTTCCCTGTAGTTTTCAGAATGAGGGCTCCTCAGCAGTGGACAGGTTGAGCCAGGGACAGCTAGCATCCTGAGGTGAGGCAACCACTTAGGGAAGGACAGATGGGCCAGGAAGAACCCACATATAGTTATTTAAGTCCTGCTAGTGGGTGTCCTGGGATAGGCAGGTCAGTCTGCAACTGGCAATTGGTAAGATTGAGAAAGGCAGCAGGTGAGCTTCACGGAGACCCATTGGGGACATGGTGGTTGAACCATTTACAACAGTAGCATAGTTTCAAGGCAGTAAATGAATAAATGAATGAAATAACATAACAGACAAAACCAGACAAGCTGATTGTTGACAGCATGTAAGAGAAATCTGACCCCAGAGATGGGAGTTCAGAGTAGGAACTTCAGCTCCAGATTCAGAGAACAGAACCTCAGTTCTAAAACCTGAAAAGTAAGCTAGGATACTGGAATTCATCATGTTCTGGGGCACAGAGTGGGGGCTTGGTCGAGAGTAAGCCAAGATCATAGAATGGGGAACACTAACTTTCCACCAAACCTCTGAGCTACTGTTCCAGAATCTTCACCTATCCCCTCCTAAAGAATTAAAATTGTTCCCCGGGCCTGGGGCTATGTGGCCACAGCTGTGGAGGGCCAAGAAAGCAGGGTACAGTTTCAGGCTGAAGCTTTCCAAGCTCACCTGTGAGTGATCTTCACAGCAAACTGAAAACATAGCAAATCATTTAAATCAAGAGATAAAATGAATGCACCTGGACCAGTGTTTAACGTCCTTTGTTACCAGTGCTATGCATGTAAGTCAAGCATTTTATAAGAAAGTTTAAGTACAGCAAAGCAGGTTTAGAGAAACTAAGTCTATTACATCAAGGGTGATCCATCATTTAGAAAATGTTTATCAAAGCAATTCTGCAGCATACGTGCAGAACCACTACTTGGTTTCTACAGAACAATTCCCTAATTCTCCAGCAGCAAAGAGTGAGCTCTGCTAGCTGAGGCCAGATTTGTGAGGGTGGAGGAAGGTTGGGGGATGAGGTCAGTACTGTAGATCCTGCTCTGTGAGTAAACAAGTACCACATAGGGAATCAACCCACAAAGGAGAGTGAGGCCAAGCTCAGGAAATACAAACCACAGTAAAAAAGTAACAGAGGAACAGTCCCATTTCAAGATTATAGGTTATAATATAGAACATCCAGAAAGGAAAGGATCAGCTGAGAGAACATAAACTTAGCCGTGTGTCTGCCCATGGACTGGAGGCAAGAAGGGGAAAAGAGGGAACCGGAAAGAAAAAAAGAGAAAGGCAAGTGAAAGGAGGAGGCTTTCTAGGCAGTAGATAGGGTCCCATAGACATAAACTACAAGCCAAATTCTACTCCCAGCTTGCTGAGTAACTTCAGGCAACTCACCGTATCTTTGGGTCTCAGCTTCCTACTCTGTGAAAAGGGGAATTGAGTGTGCTGGTCTGCCAGTCTTCAGCATCCTGTGACTCAAAGATTACTGGTGCCAGGATACCCCAGCCAAGAAAAGTAAGCATGTTTAGAAGCTTTGTATGCCTCCAAAATGCTAATGAGGTTCACTTCCCTCATTCTGTTCCTCCCTTTTTATCTGCAAGTATTTATTATGAACCTACTATGTGTCTGGGCCTGCAGATATGTACGAGTAAGCCAACACACACACACACACACACACACACACACACACACACACCCCAGCTCCTGCTCCCAAAGCCATCACATTAATTCAAGGCGGCCAGTCCGCAGGCTGTCCAGTGACATCAGCTCTCACAGCTGAGCCAATTAGATTCTGTTTGGAGACAAGTATGACACAGAGGACAAGAACACGGGCACAGGAGCCTGACTGCCCAGGTCCAACTCCTGGTTGCACTACTTACTGGGTATGAAAAACCTGGGCAGGTTACTTAATCTCATAATGCCTCAGTTTCCTCAGCTGTCAAATGGAGACAATATTATAACTTACCACTTGGTGCTTTTGTGAATTTTAAATTAGCTTATTCACATAAAGTACTTAGAACAATACAAAGCATATAATAAGGATTTGATGGATATTAACTATTCCTATTTAATGTTATTATTCATTATTATTAGTCTTGCAAATTCAAATTGGGAAATGTAGAAAGATAAAATTGGTTACCAGTAGTGGCAGAAAATGAAAGGTGTCATGAAATAAGGTTGGGTCATGAGAAACTGATGTTTAATGCATGCCAAAGTTGTGATAGGGCAGAAACTGTAAGCAGGGTAGCTGATGGGTAGAGAAAGTGAGAAGATATACAAGAGACACAGAGGGTGCAAGAGATTCTGGAGCCTTGGTTCCTAATGCACATCATTGCCCGTCGCTGTCTCAGTACAGTAAACCCATTTTATTGAAGGCCTCCTTGCCACCCAAGAGCATAACCAAAACAGAGCCCATATCCTGGATGAGACATGATGCTTGGACTCAAAGGGTTCTCTGTTAGTGTTTGAAAACTAACCACTCCAAAGCAGAACATATGCTCAATGATCGTTTCAAAGTCTACGCTCTTTGGGGAAGTGAGAGAATGGTGTTGTCAAGCAGGACTCCCTGGAGAAGATGATGCTAGTGTTGCATAATCAGCTATCGGTAGGAGGGTGGGGGGAGGAGTCAGAAAAATTCAGACCAAAGGGGTAGCAAAACAAGAAGCCCCAGAGCCAGAAACAGCCTGGTGTGCACATTCAAGTGCAGGCCAGCCTGCCGGGCTGCTGAGGGTGAGGAGGGCAGCACGTGCCCAGAAGGAGCTTGGGGAGTGGGGCAGAACTTCATCAGCCAACTATTCACTGAGTGTTCACCATGACCCAGGCAGCACTGAGAAAGCAGGCATAGAGCTGTGTGTGAGTGAGTAGCAAGGTTCCTGCCCTTTTGAAGCTTGCATTTCGGTGAGGAAAGCAAGCACCATCAAGTTAACAGAAAAATGTCAATTTTAAATGGAAATAAGAACTATGAAGGAAAGGAAAGCAGCATAAGAGGATAAAGAACGAGGTGGTAAGAGGAAGGATATTTTAGTCAGAAAAGGAAACGACATTTGAGCAGAGACCTGAAGGGAGAGGAAGTTTCGTTGGTGCTTCTCAAGGGCGACCAGTGATCTTGGCCTGACAGAGGGTGGAGCTGGTTGAGAGGAAGGCAAGGGAACAGAGGTCTCAAACATTTCTGAGACAAACCAGTCAGGCCTCTGTGATCACACAGGTGTAGAGCATGAGAAAAGGGGAGGAACGAAGAACACAACTACGAGATTTCTAGCGTAGGTAGTAAGGAAGGAGGGGTGCCACCCACTGAGACGCAGAATGCAGGAGGAAAAGCCGGTGGGAAATGAAAGGTAATGAGCTGTCCCTTATAACAGCACGAAGGTGGTGCAGTCCCTTGGACAGCAAGGTCCCTGGCAGGGGGAATCCGGAGCTGGGGCCTGGGCTGGAGATTTGGGCTTGGGAGTGAGCGGCATGTGGGTGGTCAGTGAAGCCTCTAGTGTCTCTGAGACTGCCTGTTGGTCAACCAACAAGTACTTAGTGAGCACTCACCAAGTGCCCCGCTGTGTGACCAGTCCTGAAGGAGCTTTCTTTTTGGTGGGGGCATGCAAAAAATCTCTACACAAGTAAAATGATCCCAAGTACTGATGATAGAGGATAAGAAGAAGTTAAAATAAGGTCATGGGATGAAGAGTATTCGAGGGGGGGAGGCAGTGGCGGCTGAGAAGGTCCTCTCTGAGGATGGGATGCTTGAACTGAAACTGAATGAGACTCACGCTCCTGTGAAAATCTGGATAAAGGCCCTTGGAAGCAAACGAAATGATAAGTCTTTACGACCTGAGATGGGAGTGGACTTGGTGTGTCTCAAGAACAGGTGAAATGTCAGAGTGCCCTGGGCAGGGGCAAGCTGGCTCTCCTGAGACAGGAGGGAGGCAGGCTGGATGGGAGGAAGGGAGAGAAGGCAGGGTGGCCAGACTGGGTTTTATCCTGAGGAATGTGGAGTGTAAGCAAATTAGAAGAGGACTGAAGAGAATAAGAGTCTCGGAAAACACTTGCCCACAGAACAAAGGGAATGTGGTGTCACAGGGTCGGGAGAGGGTAAACGTTGGAGGAGCGGGTGGTAAATGCTCAGCAGCAGCGAGCCTAGTGCAGAATGGCTCCCGTTTTGTGAAGCACAGAACAAAGGGGCCATTCAGCTCCACCGCAGCCCACTCATAAGCTAAAGGCCCAAGAAGCCAGCCCATCTGCCCTGCCACGTTTTCTTTAGTTTCCTCTTCCAACAGAACAGCTTCAGTTTCACAGTGATGGATACGTCATCCCACAATCAGTACCCACAGGGCTTTTTGAAGATAGCTGCAGAACGTGTTTCGGCCCAGTCTGCAATCACTGTGCAGGCCTAAGCTAAAAATTACCTCTGTCTGCTTATGTATTTTAGGGTCACCTTTTGTTTCGCATCTAGTTCATGCCTCCGTTTGGGGAAAGCTATCTTTAGAAGTTTTATGGATCGCCAAGCCGTAGTGATGGACTGCACTGTAAACTGCCTCTCTTCATCCACAGGCGCGACGCTTCGCTTGGACGTCTGGGATGGATGGAAGGAGTTTCTGATGGGCTGTCTCCTCGGACAAAAACTTAAAGTCCAACGCTATTTATCAAATGAAAAGCCAGTACTTAAGTACGGAGAGAGAGCAAATACTAAATTAATTTAACTATTTTTTACTAAATTTCCAAAGGACCTCGAGTCTGCAATTCACTCCACAGCGGGTGTGCTGCTGCTCCACGCCAATTCCGCTTAGAAGGTCTCGATCAGACATCATTATTGAGAGATTTGACGGAGCGGCGCAGCAGGATGCCGGCAGCACTGACGGCCTCTGGGGATGGATTGCAGTCTGGGTAGATGTTCCTCAGGAAACACTAACTACTTCAATGGGTGACCAGTTTGGTTTGGTTATCAGAGATTGAAGATCTTTTTAAAAAGACATCGGAATAAGTATCTTGTCACTGTCACATTCAATTATATTTTTTTATCCTCACCCAAGGACATGCCTATTGAGTTTTAGAGAAAGGGGAAAGGAGGAAGAAAGAGGGAGAGAAACATTGATGTGAGAGAGAAACATCCATCAGTTGCCTCTTGTACCCCGCCCCCAACCAGGGACAGAACCTGTAACTTAGACATGTGCCCTAACCAGGAATCGAACCTGCGACCTTTTGGTTTACAGGATAACGTCCCAACCAACTAAGCCAATCAGGGTACATTCAATTATTCTAGAAACAAAACAACAACAAAAAAAACAGTATTTGCTAATTGGTTACCTGAAAAATTGGCGGTCTTTTCATAAGCACCTGTGTAAGTTTTCAAACTGCATTTAATACAATATTCAAACATTTTTCAGTACATGAAGTAGAACATGTGTGACTGAGGCAGTGGAGGTGGGTAGGTTCAGAGAAGCAGGTGAACATTTTAATGTATGTCTGCGGCTTCCCAAATGCTACACTACCCTTTTGTTTTAAAATCAGTGGTACTGTGCTTCAGAACAGTGCCCCCTTGTGGGTGATTTAAGTATGCCTTACAGAAGCCGGCATACCCACCAGCAGCTCTAAGGGCTCTGTGAAGTGATAGATTGGAAGCCACCTCTTTCAAGTTTGTAAAATATTCAAATATTTAAAATTAATTTCTATTTGGAGATAGTAATAATTCTTTTTTTAAAGATTTTATTTATTTGTTTTTAGGGAGAGGGGAAGGGAGAAAGAGAGGGAGAGAAATGTGTGGTTGCCTCTCATGCACGCCGCACTGGGAACCTGGCCTGCAACCCAGGCATGTGTCCTGACTGGGAGTCAGACCTGCAAGCCCTCGGTTTGCAGGCCAGCACTCAGTCCACTGAGCTGCACCAGCCAGGGCAGTAATAATTTTTTTTCATGCTCTAAATCCAAAGAAATAGCCGTGCTACACTGTTACTTTTAATAGTGCATATTTATTGAGTACTTTGTGACACTGTTATATTTATTATGTAACTTCATACTTTTATGAGGTCAATATTCTTTGATCTTGTTTTATAGATGAGAAAACTGATTTTAGGAAATCTGTCCATTTTCACACAGCTAACAAGAATACAACTGGGTACTGGATCCTCCTAACGATGTAACTCTAGTGCTTATGTGCTTAACCACCCCCACTTAATATTTAAATAAAATCTAAAAAAATTAAATAAAATCTCAGAGAATATAAATAATCACAATGAAAAGCTCCTTTTATTTTCTATCCAATTAACAAATATCTATTGAGCATTTTCTATATATTACATAAAATCTTAGGAATGTAGCAGTAAACAAGATATAGCCTAGGCTTCTGGTAAGGAAAACAGAAAACAGTAGCCAACTCCCAAAGAAGTGGCATTGCAAAGTGTTTGGGAGTACAAGCTCCAGGGCCCATATGCACAGGTTCAAAGACCCACCCTCGGGGTTTAGTTGTGTAAACTTGGACAGATTATATAGTCATCCTGTACCTCACTATCCTCTTGTATAAAATGGGAGTGATAACAGTATCTCATAGAACAGTTTTAGAGATTAAATTACCTAGGAATCATAAGGAATTTAGAGAGCTGCCTGGCATATGGCAGGAGGGTATGAATGCTGGGTGCTGCTGTCATTAGTGTGAGAAGAGTAAGGGTGTGGGCGCAGTGCCAGACGGTCTGAGAACAGATACTATGGAGAACCAACCAGTCCCAGGGAGTCATCCTGAGAAACAGAATTAAGATTGAGACCTGAGGAGCTGGTACTCAGAGAAATGGTAGAGAGGAAACAAAAACGAGAACTCTATGTTCCAAAGCAGATGGAACCACATGAATAAAAACCAGGGAAAGAGAATGGATTTTCAAGGAAGTCAAAGAAATTCCACATGGTACATCACAGAGTGAGAGGGGGTGAGTAGCCAGAGGCTGAAAATATACAGAGAGGCCAGCTCATGCAGGACCCACAGAAATGCAAAGGAATTTGAACTCTATAGCATTTGAAAGACATTGAAGCTGGGCTTCAATGCGAGAGATAGGGAGAGGCAGAGAGGGAGACAGGGAGATAGTCAAGAGAAGATGGTGGCCTGACCTGGGCTCAGGACGGAGAGGACATATTGTGAAAAGATGCATTTAGAAAACAGCATCAACTAGCCTCTGTACCAAGAGCACCTCTGGTCCCCACATGAGTGCTAAGGGTAAACACAAAGGCCGCTCAGGCCATCCAGAAGAGGCTCTTCTCCCCAGGTCAGGAAAACTGATCAAATTCAGACATGCTGATTTGCACTAGTGATTTTCAAAAGAAATTGAGGTGTGTCACTGTATTAATGTATAACTCTAGTTATAATCTAACTGCCAGAGTCCTCCTAGAGACCCATATGTTCTGGGCAAACTATCTACCTCACAGAAAAATTACATGGGAAGCCACCTATACAGCAAAACGTGGTGTGGCAAGCATGCAAGCAGACACAGGCGAGTTAGTTAAATGCAGTGCATTGGGGATGATTCCAGGCTAGCTCCCATCCGTCTCTGCAGTGGAGTCAGGTAGCCATGCCCAAGTATGCTCTGACAGGTGGGACCCTGTCCAGGTTTCCCTCCTTAATTCTTCTTTCTCTGAACAGCCTTCCCCCATCATTCAACTGTGCCTTCTGGGGTACTGGAAGGATAGTAAAAAGGCCAGTGCACCTCCAATACAGTGAAATAGAAGGAGACTGGTGGGAAGAGGGGCTGGAGAGGGGTGCAGGGGCCAGGTGATAAGGGGCCTTAAAGGCCCAGGTGAGGAGTTAGAATTTCAATTGCCGTGGGAAGCTATTGGAGGGTTTGGAACAGAGGACAGGAAACTTGCAATTTATAGAATAAAAAGATCCTTGAGTACTGTGTGAGGAAAAGCCTGGGGGGAGATGAATGGAGGTGAGAGACCAGTTAGGCACTGGGAGTGGTGCTGGTGGAGGGTGGCAACTTAGTGCTTAGATCAGATAGCAGCGGGGACTCTGAGAAGCCTGAAAATAAGGACTGCTAGAATAGGCAAAACAAACAAACATGGACCACTTTCACATTCCTAAAATGTGCTAAATTTCTTCCAATACTTTCCCAATTGGTATAAAGCTTGATATTTCTCCTGAGCATGAAACTTTCATAAGAAAGGAAATGGCTCCGAGGAAACCAGTTGGAATTATTTGCAGGTGCATAGTAGGATCATGTGCCTAAGCAGGACCTCTGCAATTTAACCTGCATATTACTATGTGCCTTTTCTGAAAACATTTTGGGTAAAAGTTAGGAGGCAACAAAAATTTTGAGTGTTTCATGGGCATTTAGTGTAACCGCACTTGTCTGTTTGCTGACTCGCTAAACCCCCACTCTGACTCGTTTCGCTCATCCAGGTACCAGAAGAGGGTGGCCCTGTACATCGCCGCCTTTTACGGCTACATTGAGCTCACTGAGTGGGCCCTGAAGCAGGGTGTGCGGCCCCACGAGGCGGTTGGCGTCCACCCTTACCGAGCATGGTGCCATGAAGCCCTGCATGCAGATGTCTCTAAATGTCCCATTCATGCAGCTGCAGAAGCAGGCCAGCTGCTGATTCTGAAGGCCTTTGTCAACTGCAGTGTGCTGTGCCTGGAATGCACAAACGCCGCAGGCCAAGCTCCCCTGGCCATCGCGCTCAAACGCAAGCATAAAGACTGCGTATTGTATTTGCTTAGTAAAACGTGGTCCACAGTTTCCTTTCCGAAAATGTCAGTCCCCATGAGGATCTATATTAAAATAAAACAATGGGTGCTCAAGGCTCAGAGTCACAACCTTTATAAAAGCCAGCCATGTGGATCAAGAGTTTTCGGGGCAAAAGTTGGAGACATTGTGATGGTGGATGGTTTCAGCAAACCACTAATGACCTCCAAGAGCTGGCATAAGGCTGGGAATAAGGACTCACAAAGCACTGTGGTCAAGCTACCGCCTCTCAAGGAACAAACTGCAAGCAAGAAACCTGTCAATCCTTTGGTAATTTCACAGCAGGACACAAGAGAACAAAACCTCAAATTTCTTCCGCTGATAGATAAAAATACATTCTCTGAAATACAAAGACAACAAAACTGGAAAAATAGTATTGCCATGGATATGAAAAACGAAAAGCTCACAAAAAATACATACCTTCCACAAATCCCACTCCCTCCAGTTTCAAGAGTAGGCCCTTCACACCCATCTTTTTACTACGCAACACCCAGTGCTGACTCTTTACTCAGATCCTCCTTCGAATCTTTCTCTGAGCGCAGCGGGAGAACTCCAAGGGAAAACGCTATCTACTGCTTAGCTATGGCCAGGTAATGTGTTTTATTTCTGTATTCATGTATGTACTTCTTTATTTTTAGTTAAATTTATTGGGGTGACATTGGTTAATAGGAATGCTTTCTCTTTAAACGTATGAGAGCAAACCTTTCAAAGGGCAGGTCTAAGGGCCAGGGATGGCCCGTGAAGCCCTCCCTACCATGCCCACAGCGTAATACAGGCTGTTCCAGGCATCAGTATCTGGCTGCCAGGACCTCACCTTAGCCTTGTATCTACAACAAAACAGTTTTTATTGGGCAATCCAATCTGTGTAGCACTTTTCCCCTTAAGGTTTAGGAAAGAAAAGAGACACAGTTAAAAGACTTGTATCAATTAACAAAGTCCATTGTTTCTTTGAAAAAAAAACTAATAAGAATTGTTCACTGAAATGTGGAAGGGAGACATCAAAACTGTCATGGAAGACTGGATGGAAATGAAGGGGAAAGAAAAATAAAAGAAACAACTGAACCATAAAGACTTCAGTTGACTTACTGGGCAAGATATACAAGTTGTGGGAGGTCTATATTGGGGTGATAGGATTGACATTAATATTTAAGGTAAGTTTTAAAAAGTAATGCACGATCACATTTGAAGACATAAACAAGTGTATCTGGGGTGGACTTTTCAAACACATTCATTTCATAAGATAAAATGTTACATACTGGTCACCAGATTTTACTGAAAACACAGCTCTGCAAATCTCAGGTGCCTTTGAAATGTATGAGGTGTTATTGGGTGCCAGTACTGCAGCTGAAATACCGATTTGTAAGTGGCTTTTCCCCTCACTCAGTGTATGAGAAGGAAAGAAAGAACAAGGCGAAGTTGTTTTAGTTGCCTTTCTATGTTGGTCTCTATTTCAGCTCCGCTTTATCTCAGCAAGGTTATCGCCACCTAGTGGCGAGAATAATCTGGGCTGCAACCCTGGTAGAATTCAGAGTGACGACAATAAAGAACTGCTTAATTTTTCAGTCTTTGTAATTTGTGAGGTATCTCTGAGTGGAATGCATAAAAATAATCTAAAATTCTAGAAAAAGGCTAGTAAATTTTTAATTGAAAAAATTGTATAGCTCATCTTAAAATCGGGATGTAAACATATGAAAGGAAATATTGGTTAGTTTTATCAACAGATGCATGTTAAAAAATTAGCTTATTGCCTGGCTGGTGTAGCTCAGTGGATTGAGTGTAGGCCTGTGAACCAAAGAGTCACTGGTTCGATTCTCATTTAGGGCACATGCCTGGGTTGCAGGCCAGGTCCCTGGTTTGTGGCATGTGAGAGGCAACCACATATTGATGTTTCTCTCTCTCTCTTTCTCCTTCCCTTCCCCTCTCTAAAAATAAATAAATAAAATCTTTTTAAAATGGATTTATTTTCTTATTGTCAATTACACCTAAATACAAGTGAGAAATAAGCTTATTTTCCAAGCACGCATTAAGTGCTTATTAGGGCCCAGTGCAACGCTAGGCAGGATGGAAATGTGCAAATGCATCTGTATTTAAGGTGGGCATGCGTGTGGTTTGTGGGGAGAAAGGCTGCCAGTGTCTCTTGTGTGGAGTGCTTTCTTGGGGAGGAATTCAGTTGTGAAATATATAGAAAAGTGCATAAGCAGTGTTAATCCCACGTATATTGCTCATTTTGCACACAGCCATGTAATAGCTACTCAGATCGGATACAAAATATTTCCTGCTCCCCCAAAATTTCCCTCATGCCCCTTTCCAGTCAATAACCTCTCCCAGATGTGACCGTCATTCTGATCCCTATCAGTGAGTTAGTTTTGCCTGTTCTTGAACTTCACACAGAGGGCATCATATAGTAGGCACCTTCTATGTGTGGCTTGTTTGCTCAACATACTGCCTATGGGGTTCATCCATGTTTTTGCACATATTGATTCTTCTTATTTCTATATAGTATTCCTTTTCTGTGTAGTGTTCCATGCCTTTGTTTATCTGTTCTCCTATTGATGGACATTTGGGTTATTTCTCTCTCTCTTTTTTAAGATTTTATATATTTATCTTTAGAGAGAGGGGAAAGAAAGAAGAGAAAGAGGGAAAGAAACATTGATGTGTGAGAGAAACATCAACTGGTTGCCTCTCATACACCCCCAACCAGTGATCTGGCTTGCAACCCAGGCATGTGCCCTGACTGGGAATTGAACCAGTGACCTCTCAGTTTGCAGGCTGGCATTCAATCCACTGAGTCACACTGGCCAGGGCTGGGTTGTTTCTAATTTGGGGCTATCTGAATAAAACTGCATAATGATTTGTGTATGTGAGGTCTGTTGGACATTTGCATTAATTTCCCTTGACTATATACTTAGAAATAGAATTGCTATGTCACAGGGTAAGTTTTTTTTTTTGGGGGGGGGAGGCAGGGAAACACTTCCAAGCAGTTTTCCAAAGAGGTTGTACTCACATGCTATTTTTGTAGGCATATTTTATAAAGTTGAAGTTATCAAACAGTTTCAAGGCTGAGAAAGGACTCTCTGGGGGAAAACACTTTATTAAAAATTAAGGTTACCAAGTCCTGTCTGGTGTGGCTCAGTGGGTTGAGCAGTGGCTTGCCAACTGAAAGGTTGCTGGTTTGATTCCCGGTTGGGGCACATGCCTGGGTTGGGGGCCAGGTCTCTAGCTGGGGGCATGTGAAAGGCAATTATAGATGCTTCTCTTGTGCATAAATGTTTCTCTCCCTCTTTCTTTCCCTCCTTCCCCCTCTAAAAAATGAATAAAATATTTTTTAAAAAAGAGATTAGCAAAGCGAGGCAAAATGAAAACATCTGCAATAGTATCAACAATAAAAAATAAGGAGACTCATAGGAGTGGTGGTCAATCTGATTTCGTACTTCCTCTAGTAGTGTTACTCCTAGCAAATCTTTCCAACTTTACTGTTTCTCTTTTTCTCTTTCCTCTATTTGCACTCTCTCCTTCCTTTCCATCTGTTCCCCCCCCATCCACTGCATCTTTCCCAGCATCTGTCCCACCTTCCTCTGTTGGTGGGCTGTGGAGGGAAAGGAGAGACCTAGAGTCTTCATGACCCTGCACAGCTCTTTTTGGTCTGGTTTATGCCCCCATAGGACTTACGAAAGCCTCTATGTCTACCTGAAACTACCCGTCAAGCCAGGGAGAGGTGGATAGAGTTATACTACCCTTTTCTCCTTGAACTGGGGACTCCTGTGCTGAAAAGAAGCACTGAGATTCAGTTAGGTGGTTGGGCTGATGGCCCAATTAGTGATTATTAATAGCTAATTCATTCATTAGCTATTCATTCATTCAACAAATGTATATTGAGGTGATGATACATTAATAGAATGATTTTCCTAGTTTTAGCTCTCTAAGTCCTGTTTCCTGACAAATCCCTCAGTTTTTGGCAAACCAGGACAGGTGGTCGGTCACCTTCTACAATGGAGAGCAAATACAAATACAGTCCTGCACTTGTGAAGCAAACTACTTACTAGGGTGTGACGGGCATCACCACACAAGCTGAGGAATGGGCTATGAAGGAGAGGAACCTCAGGGAAGAGGTTCTACGACCTCCCTAAGACAATGTCTGAACTGAATTCTGAAGGATGGGTAGGGGTTAACCAGGTGAAGGAAGAGTGGAAAGATACTGCTCTAGATAGAAGAAATGGCTTGTGCAAAAGCCTTGTGGCTGCAGTTCATGGAGCATCTGTGCCATAGAAAGATATGTTAGAGCAAAGAGAGAGAAGAGAGGAATGAAACAAACATGGGGAGGCAGGCTGGGGTCCCTACGAAGGACTGGGCAGGTTTGGACTAAAAAAATAAGGGAACACAGAAAAGTTTGACCTAATAAGCTTCATGTTTTGTAGAGATCACTTTGGCTGCAGTGTCAGAGAACTAGAAAGGACTTAAAGTCCGGATAAGAGGCAATGACAGAGGTTCCAGGGAGAGATGGTGGTAGATTGCACTACAGGAGGGACTTGAGCAATGGAGAGCAGTAGATGGGTTGGAGACAAATGTAAGAAAGAAATTGATAGGACTTGGTGGTAGGTTGCATATGATAAGGAATGAAGGCCAGGGTGGATGCAAAGATGACTCCTGTCTTCTGAGCTAATCTAAGCAAGGGTGAGGTTCTGGGTGCATAGGCACACCCAGACACAGCCTCAGCAACATGGCCCATAATGCTCTGCTTCCACCTCTAGAGAGACATAGGCAGTCATAGGAATTCCTAGGTCTTCGCAGGAGTTTAGATATGTGTTTCAGGCTGGTCCCCATGTTCAGAAAGCCCAACAGAGTACCCAATTGATGAAGTTGAAATAATGCTATAGTAAGGCAGCCCTGTTGATCAGTGTATATATTGTCCTTGCCTGCCAGAGAGATAGTAACTACATTGGTCTCTCCTGGGTAAATGCCAGAACCCCAGAAAATGACAACTCAAGGACAAAATGCTTGAACTAACCCACTTCCACACACTCACAGAGGGTGGCTGTGGGCGTGGCAGAGGCTATTTGAGAAAATCTGACTTGAGTGGTGTCAGTCTGTAACCTCTCCCTCCAGTCCTGCTTTGTTTTTATTCATAGTGCTCTCACAGTCTGATTTGTGTTTTAATTTTTACTCAATTTATTTGGGTGACACTGGTTAATAAAATTATATTGATTTCAAGAGTACAGTTCTATAGTATATTATCCATATTGTATTGTATGTTCACCATCCAAAGTCAAGTCTCCTTCCATTACCATTCATTACCCTTTACCCTCCTCCATCTTCCCCCACCCCCTGTTCCCCCAGGTAATTACTATACTGTTGTCTGTGTCTATGATGATTTTTTTTCCTTTGCTTAATCCTGTCACCTTTTTCACCCAGTCCCCCAGCCCCTTTCCTCCTGACAGCTATCAGCCTGTTCTATGTATCTATGAGTCTATTTCTATTTCTAATTGTTTGTTAGTTAATTTTGTTCATTAGATACCACATTTAAGTGAAATCATTTGGTATTTGTCTTTCTCTGACTGGCTCATTTCATCCAGCATGATACTCTTAGAATGAAAGTT